CCGGGCGCGGGCGGAGCGGCCTTCTCGGGCGGGTCCGGGCCCCGGCGGCCTCCCCCCCTCGCAGCTGCAGAGCAGTTAGAGAGAGAAATAAAACTCGACAAGGCGATATTCTCCAGGTGGTTTTAATAAGAGCACAGATTATCTTTTTTTTTTTTCTCCCTCTGATATCATTTATATACAATGTATCGATAGTGGATTAAAAAAAAATATTACAGAATTGAAAATCGGATTTATACATAAATTTTCTTAATCAAAACAGCTGAAGGCGGTGAAGAAGCGAGGAGAATTCCTGTGATCCCCTCTGTTTTAAACCCTCTCAAAACAAAAAAGCACCACAGGCTGCCGAAAACGAATCAGATGACCAGATTTACAGATTTTATTCGGATTTAGGCAAGGCACTCGTTAAGCAACTTCTCCGTATGTACAGCGTTAAGAAAACCCAGAGCGAAGCGTCGGTCACTGCGCCGGGAGCGGCTGCGCCATGTGCAGGGCAGGGGCTGGCATCGGCCAGCCCTCCTGGTGGTTCTGCAGCAGGCGGTAGAGCTGCTTCAGGTGAGCCACGATGTTGTCCTTGATGTCGGGCGTGGAGATCTGGAGCCGCACGCTGCCGCTGTCGAAGGAGCGCGTGAAGTCACCGGAAAACATTTCGTAGATCATCCGGGCCACAACTGGAATGACCTGCTCAGGAAGACGTCAGTCGTTTTAGCCTAACGGTCACGCAGAATACTCCCGTTACTCCGCAGGAATCCCCTGCCCCGGATGCCAGGGACGGTTTCCACAAGGACCTAAAGCGCGCTCACAGAGCGATGCTGTTTGGCACGTGCAGCATGTCTATCTGCCACGACAAAACCCACCAGCCCTTCTGGGGTTTCGGTACCCACGACAGAGACCGACAGGTCTCTGCTCTCTGTGGGCATCGATCCAGAGCCAGCGCAGGGCCCCAGCAAGGCTGGCACGCGCCACTTCTGAGCCTGGGCTCCTACCTGAACCACAATCAGCTTCCTCTCCCTGGGCTTTCCATCGGGCCATTCTTCTCCAAAACAGAAGTAGATCTCATACGGTGGCTGTTTCTCAACTTGTCCTTTCTGATGGGCAATCAGCTCTAGGAAGAAAAGCAGAAGGCTGCAGGGTTGTCCTCTTTCAGTTAGAAACACTCACCGCACCCCACCTCATTCGTATCACCCCGGGCCTCACCCACACACTGTCCTTTCCCAGAGCCACCTCTTACACATTCACAATGACAGCTTATTTCCTGAACCCAGAAGGGCCTTCTCTAACAGCAAGGCCCATCAATGTTTTTTTGAGCATTAAATGTGTGCACATTCACCTTCTCCTGATGTGCATCTAGTCCACGGTCCACTGAAGTCAGGGAACCGGAGGCCCCTGCCCAGGCTCCATGCACAAGCCAACTAACTGGTGCAGCCAGGCTGATCCCCAGCGCAAGACCACCCCTTCCTACAGTGCCCAGACCAGTATCCAAAGCTATTTTCCGGAAGCGGAAGCTACCTACCGCTTAGGAACGTTTCCAGACAGAAGAGTTTGACTTTCTTTTGCCTCTCGATCAAATTTGGTGTGGTGGAGGAAGGCGCACAGGGACCAGACCAGTACACCTTGCACTGGCAGAGCCGGACAGCGTAGATGGCATGGCCACTGACCTCCAGGATCAGTCCCCTGTCCATAACATCCAGCAGCCGACTTGTGAAGATCTTCTGCCTTTCATTGGTGATCTGCTCTGTCCCTGGAAACTTCACTTGCTCCAAACTGATGGGCCCGAAGAGCTCTTCCTGGTCTGGCATAGGACCCAGCTCTCCGTAGAAAAGTCTGCATCCCTGCGGGTTGCTTACAGTCGTCGTCGGTCCGGTCTCCTTTCCCCGATATTCGAACTTGATTTCTAGGTCTGTCACTGAGAGAGAAACTGTCAGTACGGCTTTTCCTGGACCTTTGCACGTATTGCGTGTCAGCAGCAGAGACACACCACGCCATCCGCGCCACAGTCACAGCGGTGTTTAGACACAGTTCTCCAGGCTAACAGGCAAACAGCCACAGGAAAGAAGTCAAAAGACCTTTTTTTTTTGTTAGCGTACAATGACAGAAGCGCTACAAATCCATATACGTACTTGGCAGAGAGCTGATCCAGAGCTCAGGGCTGCTGAAGAAGTCATGCTGCAGCGCAGTTGGGGGCATTTCCATATCTAGAGGTTCATTCTTCGGCCACACAGCTTCAGGGCTGCAGTTTTCTGCACTGGCTGGAGCCATCGGAGAATCTACAAAAAGGAAACAATTCTTCAATAAACCAAGATCTTATTTCAGGCATGCACCAATTTACAAGCAAATCCCTGGACTAATACATTAGTCTATGCCACCAACCATTGATATTAAGAAATGGAAAGGTCTCTTGAATGGGGACATGCTGAGACTGATTCAATTCTTCCTCCTCTTCATCATCAAGATCATTATCCTTTTCATCCCACGGAGCTGAGCCAGTGGAACCTGCAAACGAGCACATTCTTGTGGGTAGTCGATGAGTGTGAAACACTGCAATGCACTTCCTGAAAAATTAATACAATCTTCATATTGGCTCTGTGCAATATTGGAAATTTATTTGTGTGTTTTCCGAATACAAGTGAAAAAAGAAAAATCTGACCTGTACTACATACTATTTTCGGTTTGATGTACACCTCTAAAAAGCTGAGGATACAGACAAACTATTGCCAGCATTGGACTGTTTAGCAGAAAACATGCAACCGTGCACAGCTCTATTAATTTTTGTACAGGTATGCTATGGTTCAAAGTCCTCTTAGTTTAAGCACAGCCGGGCTTACACATGGCAGCTGCTTTCTGCTGCACGCAGAGGCAGCTTGAGAGTTAATGCCGCGGCGGGAAAGGGACTCGCGTTGGACGAACGCCTGCTCAGTAACCAGCCCTGTGTCAGCAAGGCCCTCACCTGGATTAATGATTGATCCCTGGGACTGCGGGATATCGCACACTTCATAAATTTTAATAGGATTCATGGGCACCTCCTTGGTGCCATCGTACATCAAATTAAATTCCCGGCTTTTGTTAAGCGCACATCGGAGCTGGGCTTTCCACTTTGCAGGGTCCGGCTCATCGACTCCTTCCTGGTACTTTCCTGTTTCCACAGCCCAAGCCTGGGGACAAAGTACACTGTGCTCAGTCCAGCCCTCTCAACAGAGCAGCTTGTATCAGAAATCAAACTTCCAGACAAATTCACTGTAAAATGCTTTTCTTGCAGAAGTCCTAACTACAGCTCTTCTGATAACAACAACGGAAATTCCCACTTTAATAGCTTTTCCCATTAAAAGAAGGGGGAGACAAAAAGATGTAAATCAAGACTTCCAAAAACCATTACCAATTCTGAACACGCATCTTCATACAAGTTAGAGAAGTACAAATCGCACAGGATTGTGCACTGCGTTTTTCCAGGTGTCTCAGAAGTCATTTTTGACAGCGAGCCATACCCTGCGTAGGAGGAATGGACTCGCTTCAAATGGAGCGGAAGAGCAGCCACAGAGATCCAGCTGGCCCTCTCCCTCTCTCACCCCAAAATCAGACTATCAGCCCAAGATCCCCCCAAGGCAGAGGAGGTCAGAAATTCCTCTAAGGAGCGTAGGAGTTACAATGAATCCCTCAGGATAAGAACATTAAGGACAGCAGTGATGAGTATTGGAAGTTTGTGGTGGACCTCTCAAGATTTGTGTACTGGTATTTAATGGTTTGCTGCTCAGAACAAGCCAGCTACCACATCCTAACCCGAGCAGATGAAGCAAATAACAGCAGCGTCCCAGAGTCCGTGCAATCAGACATCGCCTGGCCTTTGGTGGTCGGGAAGGGTTAAAGAACTCTACACCGTTTCAGGCAGTGCCAAGCTTGGCATCCAGGTGCACAAAGTGGCTTTTCTGAGGTCATAGAAATAGGACAAAATGTGCCTGAAAACAACTCCCGAGATGCCTATCCAGCTCCCGGGCCAACAATTCAAGCCTTTGTCTCTGTTTAAGAGCCGTGGTACACCCGAGCTCTCCCCTCCCTCACCTTGAAGATGGTGTTCTCCTCCTCGTGCTGCGGGCTGTGCCGAGTTGCGTGCTTCCAGGGGATCTGAAACCGCTTCGCTTCTCGGTTTAGCCAGATAAGGCCAGGATACATACCGCTGTCTACCTGGGCCACCAGCCATGGCTTCAAGCGAACTCTCCGTGGGTGTAACGCCATCGTCTACAAGAGACAGGGATAACAGACCAACTGCTAAAGGTTGAGACTCAGATGCTTTACAAAGAAAGTTAATTTCATAAAAAAGGACCCTATGCCGTGTTAGTGCTATCGTTCATTATGTTACTGCACGCTGAAACCACTAAGTCACCTTTAGCCAGACGACCCTCCTGCCAGGAGGGGTTACAAACGCATCACGAAGCGGGGACCACAAATGTGACCAGAACAACTCACTATTAAACATTCCAGTAAGCAGCGATGACGCGTTATTTGTGTTCACGGAGCGCACGGAGGGCGAGCCCCAATCAAACGGAGCTGTAAACGCGGCGCAGGAGATAAAG